GTTCAAAAGTTAAGGACTGGCAGTCCTTAACTTTTAATTCCATATTTAAATGTTAAGGACTGGCAGTCCTTAACTTTTAATTCCATGTTTAAATGTTGAGGACTGGCAGTCCTTAACTTTAATTACATGTTTAAATGTTAAAGGGCATGCAGTCCTTAGCTTTTAATTTCTGGTTCAAAAGTTAATGACTGGCAGTCCTTAACTTTTAATTCCATGTTTAAATGTTAAGGACTGGCAGTCCTTAACTTTAATTACATGTTTAAATGTTAAAGGACAGGCAGTCCTTAACTTTTAATTTCTGGTTCAAAAGTTAAGGACTGGCAGTCCTTAACTTTTAATTCCATGTTTAAATGTTAAGGACTGACAGTCCTTAACTTTAATTACATGTTTAAATGTTAAAGGACAGGCAGTCCTTAGCTTTTAATTTCTTGTTCAAAAGTTAAGGACTGACAGTCCTTAACTTTTAATTCCATGTTTAAAACTTAAGGACTGACAGTCCTTAACTTTTAATTCCATGTTTAAATGTTAAGGACTGACAGTCCTTAACTTTAGTTACATGTTTAAATGTTAAAGGACAAACATTCCTTAGCTTTTAATTTCTGGTTCAAAAGTTAAGGACGGACAGTCCTTAACTTTTAATTCCATGTTTAAATGTTAAGGACTGGCAGTCCTTAACTTTAATTATATGTTTAAATGTTAAGGACTGACAGTCCTTAACTTTTAATTCCATGTTTAAATGTTAAGGACTGGCAGTCCTTAACTTTAATTATATGTTTAAATGTTAAAGGACAGACAGTCCTTAGCTTTTAATTTCTGGTTCAAAAGTTAAGGACATGCAGTCCTTAAGTTTTAATTTCTGGTTCAAAAGTTAAGGACAGACAGTCCTTAAGTTTTAATTTCTTGTTCAAAAGTTAAGGATTGGAAGTCCTTAACTTTTAATTCCATGTTTAAATGTTAAGGACAGAAAGTCCTTATCTTGGTCTCTCACTTACAGTACACTTGTTCCTAATTCTACAAGGATTGCTTTATAACGTATGTCCTTAGTTTCCCATTCTCTTGACTTGTAGGATGGAAACAATATGCATAATAGTTGCTTTTAATGGTAGATGGACTGAAGACTATAAATATCTTGATCATCAAACAAAGCTTTTCCTAGCACCTGAGTCAATTCAGTTTGAAGATTTCGTTAAACAGATTTTTGAGCTTATTGAATTGGGTAGAGAAAAGTTTGAAATAGTGATATGGTTTGATATCAACCTTGGAACAAGCAAAGGAATGCTTGTATCCAAAGATTTAGATCTTCACACATGTATAGAGTTGCTAAAAACTCATTCACTCTTCAAGAGCTGTCGTTTCATAGTTGATATTTCGGAAAGAGTTTTTGCATCAACAAGCAATGAACATGCCAACACAAAAACTCAACATGACAATTAAGAGCGATGCCAACAGATAATTGAAGTAGATATGGTTGAAGCTCAACCATTAAATGAAGAGGTGCATCAAACATTTGATTCTATTTAAGTAGAAGGACAAAGCATTATAGAGATTGACAACGAACAAGCTTTGGGTATTCAAGTCTTAGAGAGTGCACCAGTAATCGAAGTAGTTGCTGACAAAACCTGTACTCAAATAACTAGACGAAGATCAAATTTAAAACAAAAAGAATCCCCAACTACGATATTAAGAGAAAATGCTTCTTTGGATAAAATAAAAGTTGGATCAGTATTTGACAAGAAGAAGAGCATAATTAACTGTTTTTCTAATATAGCAATCAAAGGACATTTTGAATTCAAAGTTGTTAGATCAAGCTCAACAAGATATTCGTTGACATGCAATGATGATAGGTGTCGTTGGTGTGTGCGTGCTTTCAGAATTAAAGACTCAACATTATTCAAGATAGTAAAGCTTGAGAAAAAGCATGACTGCTCTGTTAACACTAGGANTTTCAGAATTAAAGACTCAACATTATTCAACCTGAACTCTTCGGAGTATTTTGATTGTCTGCCTTGGAACTTACTGCTTTTCCTTCCTCATCAAAAGGAGATTTCAACTGCCAGCTTAACTTTTTGTTCCTTTTACCTCGACCAAGTTCTTCTTCAACATTTCCTTCACCCTCCATAGTCAAAGTCGCATCAATGTCCATTTGTATACTTCGAGGAGTAGGAGTAAGAAGAGAAAATGACGGACCATCATAACCAATACTGTCTCTCTTTCTTTTCCTTGTATATTGGTTAAGATTGTCATCATTGGTGTCCTCTTTGTTTTCCTCTGCTGGCGACACTATATATATATATATATACATATTCATATTAGTTTTCTGCAACAGGTCAAATGAAGAGACAAAATTTCAATTGTACATATAATAATTAGGGCACAATCAGTACCTGTCTTCTCCGCAGTACCTTCTTGTGTTTTTTCAAGAGACAACTCAGCTAAAATATTGCGTGCAGCATTTTCTTTTTCTTGCAATTCCACATTTTCTTTATCTTGCAGTTGTTCACCATGATCTTTAGATGCTTGTTGACAAGATTCTGCAAAAATATTTACAACAGCTAACATGTTAATAATCTTTAATTAAAACAAACATATATAAAATTAAAAAAGCACTGCCTAACCATTTGCAATATCCAAGATCATTCCAGCTACATCATCATCATCACATGTTGCATCTATAGATTTGGAACCAATCTCACTTCTGCCTATGTCTTGAGATTGTAGTCCAGTTTTCTCTTGATACTGCACTCCAGCTTCTTCGCTTGCTGCTTCAAAAGATACAATATATAATGAAATAAAGATACAATATATAATGAAAATTTTATCTAACCTTGACTGGCACAAGTTTGAACTCCAAATTTTTCTTTGTATGACAGCGGTGTAGAGAGATCATACGTTCCTTCTAAGCATTTGCATACAATCTCGCTGACACTTGTCCCCAATGGACTTGTTAAATCCTCCTGTGATTGCAATCCACAAACTCTACAAATTTTCTCCGGCACTCCACAAACTTCTGCATGCACATGCATAGTTTATATGTATTAATCTATTGAATATACATTTCAACGAAAATAAAAATCAAAATCTATAACTAACCTTTCCCAATATCAGTAACATTTTCAGTTTCATCATCTAGATGTGCATCTCTAAATTCTCTTTCATACTGACCCTCTGCATGCACATCCATATAATCACGTTCAACACCACCTGCATCTTGGTTGAATATGCCAGTACGCTCAGTAGCACGACAATGATCATCAACTCCATATTTTCTAATTGGAACACTAGATTCTCTATCTGTGTTCATCTGATCAGCTTTCCCAAACATGTTCATCAAAGTATCAAGCTTTGATCCTAGAGTTTTCTTTAAATCCTGAGAAAGCAACTAAGTTACAAAGAGAAGGACATGTTTAAAACTTAAGGACAGGCAGTCCTTAAGTTTGAACTTAAAGTTCAAAACTTAAGGAAATGCAATCCTTAAGTTTGAACTCCAAGTTCAAAAGTTAAGGACAAGAAGTCCTTAACTTTGAATTCCAAGTTCAAAACTTAAGGACATGATGTCCTTAAGTTTTATTTCAAAGTTCAAAATTTAAGGACAAGAAGTCCTTATCTTTCAATTCCAAGTTCAAAATTTAAGGACACAAAATCCTAAAGTTGGACTAACTGAAATTACCTTGATTTCATTCTCAATCTTTTTTTATGATACAGCAATTTTCTGAGTAACTCTGGTGACTTCTGCTTGCAAATCCTTCTTAAAACTCTCTGATAATCTCTGAATCAAAAAACATAATATAAAAAAAAAGGTGTTCGTAAGCAAGAAATAATCAAATAAAAAACTAATACTATTCAAAGGCAGAAACACATACTCTAACAATTTCCTTAAGTACGCCTTCGTCAAATTGTGTGGAAGAAGACCTTGAGCCTCGATCTTGTGAAACTGGCTCCTCCACACAAAGAGGCTCTGTATATTCTTCTTCCACGGGAATAAAGGGTGACGCCTCAATCAACTTAAACTCCTATTATATAAGAAAAACTAAACATAAGTATACATAACTAAAACAAATAAACAAAAAAAGAGATAGTAATTACATTAACTTACTTTTTTATTATGGAAATATTTTCTACAAAGAGCATCAAATTGTGGAGACTTCATTTCAGAATAACATAACATTCGAGGATAACCAACTTCTTTGAAGTTCACAAATTGCTCCTACACATTCCTATTTTTCCTCTTGCCCATCAAAACCGACTAAACAAAATAGAGCGTTGTCAATTTCAAAGCATCATCATCACTGCCAGCAAATGATGAAGTTGTACCATGTGTGCGACTAGAAATAAAACTATACAAATCAGCCAACTCAATTTTGTCCTTTTTAGGGAAATAGACTCTTAAAAGCCTATTCTCTTTCTCATTTAAACCTTTCATGTCAAGCGACG